CAGGATTCCAAGTGCTTCATACAAGTTAAGAAACTTCTCAGGCATCAACAGCTTTACATAATCTCTTAGCTGAGAACTTGTGCCCTGTGCCAGGGTCTGAATTAAGTTATGTTCCCAATGAAGTGAGGATCCCAGGTGGCATGGTGGTTAAAGTGGCTCGACTGCCAACCAAAAAGTCAGGGGGGTTCAAACCCACCAGCTGCTCCGAGGAAGAAAGAGGAGGCGGTGTGATTCTGTAAAGATTTACAGTCTTGGAAATTCTATGGATTCTGCCCCTCAAGGTCGCTGAGTCAGAATTGAATTGGCAAGGCGCTCTACCCCATTTCACAGATGAGCAAACTGAGTTCCAAAGGGGTTTAAAAAAACGTTGCTCGAGATCATATATACAATAAATAGACAAAGACTTCAGACTCCAAGTCCGGACCTCTAAGAGAGAGGGAGCAGGGCATGCATCCCCCTCTGTTGTTAGATTTGACTCACGGTGACCCTATCTATGTGTGTACAGTAGAACTGCTTCATAGGGTTCTAACAATACAGTTTAGTATTTATTGCATACTAGTTATGGCGTGGCACTGTAGAATAAACATTGCACTGCTAACCGCAAGGTTGGTGGTTCAAATCCACCAGCTGACTTGACAGCACTTAACAACAACAAAAATGTCCTCTTCTGAGTGCCTGATATGTACAGGCATGTACCACACATCCAACTGAATGCCTAACTGAGTGTGCCTCTATAAGGTTATGTCAGCTTGAGAACTAAGGTGAGCCTGACCCAAGTCATGGTGTTTTCAATAACCTCATATGCATGTGAAAGCTGGACAGTGAATAAGGAAGACTGTAGAAGAATGGATGCATTTGACTTATGGTGTTGGAGGAGAATATTGAAAGTGCCATGGACTGCCAAAAGAACCAACAGATCTGTGTTGGAAGAAGCACAGCCAAAGCGCTCCTTGGAGCTTCGGACATATTATCAGGTGGGGACCAGCCCTGGAGAATGACATCATGCTTGGATACAGTGAAGGGTCAGAGAAAAAGAGGAAGACCCCCCCCAATGAGATGGCCTGACGCATTGAAAACAGCAATGAGCTCAAACATGGCAACGATTGTGAGGTGGTGCAGGGACCGACCGGGCAGTGTTTAGTTCTGTCGTGTGCAGGGCTGCTATGAGTTGGTACTGACTTAATGGCACCTAACAACAACAACAACAACATTATGCTAGAATCCAGAAATCCCTACCAGAGAACGGGGCTTAGCAAACGCACCAGCTTCCTGCATACAACATGTCTCTTGTTAGCAAAGTCATAGCTTTGCTAGGTGTGTAAGGGTGCCAGGCATATAAACCTACAGTGCCTAAATTAAATATGTCCTAAATGCCTGTTGGCATTGTTATGGGTTGGAACAGACTGGATAACACCTAACAACAACATAACTAATGGATTTTTGCAGATGTCTCTTTTCAGATGTCTATCTGGTAGCGTAGTGGTTACGAATCGGGCTGCGAACCTTAAGGTCAGTGGTTTGAAACTGCCAGCCGCTCCGCGGGAGAAAGATGAGGCTTTCTACTCCCGTAAAGATTTACAGCCTCGGAAACCCTATACAGGGTCGCTATGGGTCGAAACTGACTCGACGGCACTTAACAACAACAACAACAAATGCCTAGTTACTGAGGATTCCTGGTGTGGCAGGAACCTGCTACTGCAAGGTTGGTGGTTCAAAACCATCGGCTGCTCCTCGGAAACCCTATACAGGGTTGTCATGAGTTGGAACAGACTTGATCAAGCTTCATGGCAATAATAACACTGGCTTATGTATACACTTTACTTTCTGTCTAAAAAGTTTATCATCCAACATTGTCAGTGGTGTCATTAAGGAGGGGAGCAGATGGTACCAGGTGACACCATCAGAGGGGTGACATCCAAATGATCATTTATAAAAGTTTTGTATAGTGTTTCAGCAGGCATTTCTTAGTTAAATAAAATTATCCCTGTAGTTATAACAATAGAAGCATTTTTCGTTAGCCTAGTTTACATATATCAATATGCCCACCAGGTTAAAACTCTATACCAGCGGTGGGGAACCTTTTCTCTGCCAAAATTTACATCATAATTCATGGGCCAGACACAATCATCAACTTAGAAATTAGCCTGTTCTATTTGGTCAAACAGTTAATTAAGCCATCCCTGATGGTGTGGCGCTGTGGGTTAATGAGTCAGACTGCAAAGTCCTTTGAACTACAAGGTCAGCAGTTCAAGCTCACCAGCTGCTCCTTGGAAACCCTATACAGGGTGGCTATGGGTCGGAACCGACTTGACGGCACTTAACAACAACAATAACAAATAATAGTAGCAGAAGAGACAAAGGGGAAGTACTGATTTGGAAGGGGGAAAAAGTTTATTAAACAACACGAAGGTGGAAAATTGGTTAATGTTATTATTGCTCATGATTTAGGCAAATCACGGCCATCCTCAAAAAACAAAACAAAAAAATTCTGCATGCTATTAAAGGATCTCCTAGCTACAAGGCTAACAAAAATGTGAGAGGGACCTATGAAGTATGGAGACACTGCAAAGGATGTGGATGAATTGAGGGCCAAACACAGAAGTGTATCCCACTCAGTACCTAGCGGATCACTGCTAAGGCAGGAAGCTTGCTTGAGATGCTTACAGATAAAGCTATGTGGAAATGTAGAGGTAGATGTTTGGGGGCAAAGGGAGGGGAGTGATTAACCTTGCAGTCTGGGCGCGGAGGTCCTTGGGACCATCAAAGGAGAAGAATGGAAAGTGGAAACCTACCCAGAGAAGCAGTGATACCAGGGATGGAGACAGCGATGATGATGTGGAGAGATGGAGCAGCTGGAGACTTTGGACCCAGAAAGGAAGAGCGGTGATATGCGGATGACCCGGGCACAAGGGGGGGAGGAGGGGAAGGCTAGGCTTATAGGGTGTACCCCTTTGGTTGATGGATGATGCATGGAAGGGATTGTAACCATGGCAAGGAAACAATATACAACGAGATCATTGTGAAGCTGATGTCCTCCCATGTAAACTATCACATAATTCACAGTAAAGCATTAAAAAAAAAAAACAAAAAACTATGGTACGGTGTTTGCACAATACCCAAGTCACATCATGTCCTATTTCACAGA